ATCTTTAATGTACTACACTTTTATAATATATAAAAATCTGTCCCTATTTTTATTTTTTTATTTTTTACGATAAGGGTGACAAACGAGCACACAGTCCACCTGATGGTAAGCGGTTAATGTGGCCCATAGACATCTACATCTATCTTCGATTAAGAATCAAAATGCAGATGCGTTGTCACCCGTGAGGACTAAGATGGAATGCCTCGTTTCCAGTAAAAAGGGTCTCCGGTTCTCTACACTCACCATACGAAACACAGCAGCGTTAAGCTACTATTTTACGCTGGTATTCTGTGAGAGCGTGGTCCTTCCCCGGTCGAGCCGACCCATTCGTGCTACAACCATGATATGGCTGCAGCATGGCTCTACCACGTATAATTTTAATTTTATCTAAAGTTTTGAAAGTTACATTTTTAAAGTTATAACAATATTACACTTACTGGTACAAATAATGTAGAAATGACTCCTTTTAATTATTAATATTAATAAAATTATAATATTAAATAATTAATACTTTAAATTAATAAAATTGTTTTTATTCTACTCTTTCTTTTATACTTCTCAAGTAAATGTTTGCTGCAAATATCGACATAGAAGATAAATATCGACATTAATTTTGATATACTTAAGTCAATCCCTAGCGTACATGTAAAATATTTTGTATAATAAATGTACCTATTTACCAAATACCAAACCAAAAACCAGGGTGCGACTTTCCATTAACTCCCATCGAGTTAGGGGTTGATACGTATTTTAACAGAAAAGGAACACTATTATAAGCACACACACAAAGTTTCAATATGCGGAAGCGCGTAATTTTTGAGAAAAAAGTTATTGAAAATCAATTATTCTTGCATTGTTTATGTCTAATCCTACAATAAAACTGACGCCATTTTTTTATTGTTATTGTCAGTAGGGATGTCGATTCTTTCCGAAAAAGATCGATTTTTTAAATAGATTCGAATTGTAAGCTGATGTATCGATTCCCAAAAAATCGATTTCTAAAATATCTTTATTTTTTTCATGTTTGCATTTATAATGTAAATATAAATCCATTTTATGAGAAAAAAATCCCCTTCATCATAAAATATAGGGGGACTGATTCAGAAGGATTTCTGTATCTATTTTGAGACTGCTACGTCTCCGGCGCTGCGGGAAGAGCAGCCTCTACGTCTTAGCGTAACAAATCCCAGGCATCCCTCCTCGCCTCCGCAGCTTCGGCTTGTTGGTCGCCTTCGACGACCAGCCACAGCCGCTCCGGCTCGTCCGACGCCTACGATTTGTTACAGCAGGCGGAGGTTGCTCCCCCTACGCGCCTCCGGCTCTTTAAAACCACTCTAGGGGTAGGACAGACTCGTACCAGGTGGAGTCGGGGTCAATCAATTCGGTTCTTTGACATAAGTTGAACCTAAGCTATTTTATTTGTTATCTGCCCTAATTGGTACTGTGAAAATAAAACAAAATTCATAATTAAGAGATCATTTATTATTATATCTTTCTTGTTATTCATAAAATAGAATTATATTTACATTATAAATGCAAACATAAAAAAATATAGGTATTTTAGAAATCTATTTTTTATGAACCGATACATCACCTTACGATTTGAATCAATTTAAAAATCGACCCTTTACGGAAAGAATCGACATCTCTACTGACGACAATGACATTACATAATTTAAAATTAAAAATTTTGTACAGCCGACTTCAATATAAGTTATTTAAGAATAACTTAAAAACTATTGGTCTGACCTTGATCAAATTCATATGGGACCACACGAGAAGTACCAGCTTTCAAATAAAAGAAGAATCATCGAAATCGGTTCACCCAGAAAAAAGTTCTGAGGTAACACACATAAAAAAAAAACGAAAAAAAAAAAACATACAGTCGAATTGAGTACCGGCTCCTTTTTGGAAGTCGGCAGAAAATGGCGTCAGTTTTATGGTAGGATTAGATATAAACAATGCAAGAATAAATGATTTTCAATAACTTTTTTCTCAAAAATTACGCGTTTCCGCATGTTGTAACTTTGTGTGTGTGCTTATAATAGTGTAACTTTTCTGTAAAAATACATATCAACGCACAACTCGACGGGAGTCAATGGAAAGCTAAGCCCAAAAAAGTGGTAGACTAAATGAATTTATCGTAGATAAAGGATCAACCTTGTAAAAGAAAGAAGGTGATAATAATATAGCTATCTTATTTTGTACCACATGTATTTCCATGGTCTCTCTTATACTCTGAGGTTACGAGGTTACCTATATCAGATGTCAGTGTCACATCAGGTGTTAGTATTCTTTTTTTTTTGGAGTTTATGGCCTGGTATATAGACCTTTAGGTCAAGTCTTGAGTATTTTTATTCGGTTTATTATAATTTCTCCAAATGTATAATTGTATATATCCTTCATAGTTCACTGCTGCACAATATGTACATGCGTCACATTGTGCAGCCCTTGGGAGATTTTGACGGCAATTTGAGCCAGCAGGCAGCTGACAGTTGGTGATGGTATCTAAAGGCGTCTATGCAGACAAACAGCTTATCTTGAGAATCCATCACCATCAGAGCACTTCTTTCACCGTTTCTACTAATAGTTCACATGCGTAGACAGTTAATACATAAAATCGCACCACTTTTACATACGAAAATCCACTTCAAACTGTTATTTAAACTATAATACAGGAGCAGCAAACCGCCGTTGGTCAAGTTCCCGCCAATACTCCTGTCAGTATTCTATGGCCTCTCGTCAGAGAGTAGTATGTTCATTGAACTATGGTATCAGACTCAAAGACTCAAACCGCAATGTCTAATATATATACAATAATCTATGAACTGCAAGGTGCAAAGCATAGATAAATATATATGTAGCAAGCTAAGTGCAAACTTATAGTATGAAGGTACTCTGTGGTGCAAACCGTCTGTTATAGTTGTTATATTATCGAATATAACGGTTTCCAAATAATATGGTATCATACCTATTACTGGGTAATAGTTTAATAGTGAGAGTTTCTGTTCATAAAATACGCAATATTCAACCGGTATTGGATTATATATTTATCTGACTGATTGCGCATATTATTGATGTAAATATGATCATCATGAAACATGAGGTGATTAAATTTGCCTTCATACTTTAACAGACTTAGGACTGTCAACAAGAGTTTGCGTATTTACAAAATTAATCACCATATTTACAGTGATTCCTTATTTATATTTACATGATTTTAAAACATTTTTTTTATATTTACTTTTAAATATTTTTTATATGTTTATACATTCTTAATCTTATTTTATATACAACATTTAAGGCTTTTGTTCTTTTCTTTTTACATATTGAATTTTTGCAAGAAGCCTCGCTTTCTCAGTTTTGAGTCTTGTTCGGCGATCTAAAATTAAGTATCCAGACTTGGAAAATGGGGGGCGGGTGTAGTGACACGCTGCCGCGAAGAATAGGTATGCCGCATGCAAAAGGTCGCGTTCGTCACTCACTATTAACTATTATTTGACTGGGTATTATTGAATAACCTAATATGAGAACTAGCGATGGGTAGTAGCGGCTTTTTTGAGTAACGAAACGAAATCACCTATCAAATATCTATAGCGGCTTTGAAACACTATTTTAATAGCGGCTTCAATAAAGTGTTTCGAGACGTGTTTAAAAACGTAGCAAATGAAATGATGGCCGTTTCACGAGAAAGATTGATTAGTTGTTAGGTGTTCCCGTTTCGTTAAGATTACTGCTATCGAAATTTTAGTGTTAAGAAGATTTAAATTGCAATGAAATTTCGTTCATGCTTTATCCAGGCTTAGGACTGGTTGGTGACAAGTTAATTAAGTAACAATCAAAACTTAAGTTAACAATACATATATACAATTGCATTCTCTTCATACTACAAATATTATTATTGTTGCACAAAACAAAATGTACTATATTAGCAATAAAAAATAAACCGTGTCATCAAATAAAATTCAAGCAATTCGAAAATATTTTTATTTAAAAATAAAATGCACACTTACTTTCTCATTTCTAATATCACATGTATCCGAAGATAGCTCAAGTGCAAAAGCAATGTATGTAGGTGGTGGTGGTAGGTGGGTGTGAAAGGGACAAATCGTATCACCCACCCTCACTCGACACTCGATGGCCGGTGGTACTTCAACAGCCAAAGCTGGCTGAAGCCGTTACCGATGCGTCGCGAAAATAGCCGAATAATCGATTTGTTACAATTCGTTCTAATCGCTCGTTCGTGAAACGTGAATCATGTTACTGAGTAAAACGACTACAGCCCGGCTAGCATGGGCGGAGGACAAACATTTTATCCCCCGATTATATCCACTGACAAGAGATAAAATTATTTTGTTATGTCAAACGGGGAGAAATATATCCCCGTATGACATAACGAGTAGACATAATATATCCCCCGCCCGTAGCATGAAGCCAAATGAAAGATAAAAAATATGCTTTATTGACATTTGAAAGGGACAATTTAATCCTAGTTCATTGGACGTGAGTTGAAGTTTATATTCGTACAAAAACATCTATCTAAGTCTAAGTCTATCTCCCAATTTATCTACTGTGGATATTATATCCACCGGTGTGCCCATGCTCTAAGGGTGCATAAAACTAAGCGAGGGGATAAACATTTTCTTCTTTTCCCGGGTATAAAATTGTCCCCCGCCCATACTAGCCGGGCTGTAACATATAGTTACGTTGAACTGCAATAACCGGCTACCCGCTATTGTATGAATAGATAGTTTCAATAATTGGTTACGTTTTGTAACGACCACTCCTAATGAGAACATTTGTATTACCTAATATGAAACTTCTGCCGTTTACCTATTACGTATACCTAATACGAATATAATAGTCACACCTCTACTGTCTGTAAAAATCAATCAAAATCTTCAAAATGAAATTAAAAAATTAATACAACTATATTTCATAATTTTTATATTAAATATTTTACAATTTTATCTAATCGTTCTATAATTTAATCGTTGAAAATGTCGGATATCATTGAAAATGAAGAGATAGATAGAGACACAGTTGAGCAAAATGTAATAGAGGAACAATTTTCAAAAAAATACGACCTATTGACCGAAACTGTAGTGGCCCATAAGAAAACTTATATAAATAAGCTAAGTGGCACGAAGTGAGTCTTTATGGATTACCACTATAAAATTGTATTAAAATAAAATAAATATTGTTAATATTAACTATATCCTTTTAAACAATATTGTATTCACATGGTGCCTTCATATTATATTAATGTATGCCTTTTTACAAATAAATAAAGTTTCTATTATAAGCTACTATGAATGAGACAATATATCAATAAATAACAAAGTTATGAAATATGTTTATACCAATAAAAAGAAAAAATTTGTGTCACCACTACTGCTAAAAATGATATTTTTTAATATATTATGAGTTTTGACATTCTTGTTATGGTCATTGTGGTTTTGAGCTATTTTTTATACTTGTTTAGTCATTTTGTTGAAGCTATGTGAAACAAATTGATATCACCTTAGCGAGTTATTCAAACTAATTACTTATCAGTGTTTTAGTACTATCGAGCCTTGTTATTCATGAAATTAAGACATTGGATTACTAATAAAGAGAGTAAATAAAATATTTTTATTGTTCTCCCGGCATACAAGAAATATTTATTATTTCATTCTGTCTTAATGTGACAGCACATCATAAATTCTAGAGCTTAGTATATACTAGTAATGTACGTTGTGTTCAAATTTTTTTTGAACAAATTTAAAAATAAATATTTAGGAATACTGAGCTGCCAATTTAAGTCGGCACTTAAAATTTGATTGGCGCTTTTGCTATGCTCGGCATTGAAGGAAACGTGAGAGAATCTGCATGATGTCTGAGAAAAAAAATTTTTAACAAGTCTGTAGGCAGACTTGGTAGACAGTTCCTTGCCCTTAATAGAATTAATCTATACAAAAAAATAAAATTGAAGTGTCTGTTTTTATGTCAAAATAACAGCTTTTTACTAAATACATATGAAAGTATATATGGTAATTATAACAAAAACACAATTTTTAAAAATTTTGTCTGTCTTCCTGTCTGTTTGTTCCGGCTAATCTCCAAAATGGCTGGACCGTTTTTGACGGGACTTCTACTGGCGGGTAGCTGATGGTATAAGTAGTAACATAGACCACTTTTATCTTAGAAAAATAATTAGGGTCACATACAAAAAAATTAAAATCCCATGAAATCTAATTGTAATAAGTTAAAAACGGGCAAAATCACAGGGATCCACTACTTGAGAATTAGGCTATAACTATGTTATAGACAAAAGTGAGACATTGGATTACCAATTTATTTACCATTACAGCCTTACAAAAGTCTACTGCTGAACATGGGCTCCCCATAGATTGCCTTGTAGAAGCAACAGTTGCCACAATTGACGGCAGGTTGGTAACTGCAGCTTTTTTTCTATAGTTTTTTTTTAATTATCTATCTTTATTTAAAAAGGCTTTTATCCTACAAGGATATGTCAGCCTTATCGTAACCTAACTTGTTCCTGTTACACAAATGCTATTTAGAAAGGGGGAATCAATGTGGTAAGAATATGGAAATGAATGATTTTGCTACCGTTGAGTGTGGCTCCGCTTATACTTAAAAACCAACCCGTTTCACACAAATTGATATTAAGTTTTTGTACCAGATTCTCTCTTTACCTGTGATATTTGACACATTCTGCTAGCATATGTTGGATATCTTCTATAGTGTGACAGATATTGCAATTGGCGAGTCTGCTTTTTTCATCAAAAATACAAATTTTTTATTGGGACTACCCCAGACGTGACCTATGAATAGCAATTATATGGTTTCTATTCATTTCATTATACCATGGTATCCGAAGAGGCTGACTTTGAATTGTTTTATACCATATTGCTAGGCCAATGCGCCACGGCTCCGTGCCGTATTGGCTTAGCAATGAGTTGTTGCACTGGGGGCCGCGGGTTCGAATCCCACATGGAACAAGTATTTGAATGGCCTACAAATAATTGTTCCGTGTCTGGATGTTTGTCCTCATGCAATTTATGTTTGTAAACTGCCTCCACGATACAGGTGTAAATCCTAGTGTAGGGGTAACATTTTTTTAAAAAAACAAACAAACAAATATTCATTTTTCTCTGCTTCTTTCATCAATATACTCTAAATTTATCATAACAAAGGTTTTTGAATTTTGTCAAGGTTTCTGTGTAAATTGGTAAAATATTTAGTTCGATTCCTTGCATTATAGCGGCTTTTGCTGATAATAAATAATTTTACTGTAGTTATCAGGAAGTTGCTGCTGTCCATCTCCTGGTTCAGTTTCCCTCTGTCGCCTCTTATGACACCCATGGGGTGATATGTGATAGTGGATATTCTTTGACTGTCTTTATATATTTTTTTTTACCAACATAATTACCAAAAGAGTTAGAACATTATTTTGCAATATCTTATATGGTTCTCTTGGCATACAAGAAATGCAAATATTTTTGCTTCTCCATATTTGGTATAGTATCGTATAAGTAGGTTTAAGAATAACGATGTAGTTCTTTTGACTTGTAATAATTAAGCCTATTTTTTAAAATATTGACTAGACTGCATGTGCCCCCTATGAATATTTTAAGTTATAATGCTACTAAAAATCTATGGAATATTATTTTACACATGTCTTGATACACCTATTTTTATACCACTAAATATTATTTACTAAAAAAAATAAGAGATTATAGAGTAATAAAGGTCTATATTATATACTAATCTCTATAAAAATAAATTTCTATTTGTTAGTCTCTCTAAGGCCTCAAAAACGGCTTGAACAATTTTTGAATGAAATTTTTTGTGTGTGTTGGTGTGAGTCGCTGGATGATTTATATTCACAATTAGATCAATTAGACAAATTTACCGGGGTAGGTGGCGATGTTGTAGAGATACAGAAATCACCTGTGCGAAGCCGGGGCGGATCACTAGTATACTATATATAATATATATATATAATATATATATATATATATATATATATATATATATATATATATATATATATATACACATTACAGTATTGTTTATGTACTTTACTTACATAAACAGTACTGTTCATATATTACATATTATGTGAAATCAGCAATTAAATTTAATTTGAAAAAGTTATTCACTATTGTTTAATTTGTAAAATTTGATAAAGATAAGAATATAGAAAAAGTCTATAAATTATCTCATGAATATTTTTAATAGAAATTAAGTCAAAGTCCAAATACTTTAATTCGAATTGCCCTTTACAAAATCAAGGAAGCTGTGCCATTCAATCAAAAATTTGGTCAATTGCATCTATTTCTATTATAAATGTGATATAAAATAATTAATAGCAATTTTAGAAGGAAGTCTATCTTTTCAGATCTTTGAATTTTGCTCTCGGTCTCCCAGACAACAGTATAGAAGTATACGAACTGAACAATACATCATTAAGACATATCTGCCGTCTAAGTGGACATGAGAAAAATTTAACAGAAGTTGTGTTGAGTCCCAAAGAAGATAACATTCTGTACTCAGCGGGAGAGGATGGTATAGTTAAGATGTGGGACACTAGAACCAGTGGGATCTGTGTGCAAGACTATAAAGGTATTGTATTCACCAATAAATTGTACATAATACCACTATCATTTCTTATATTTATATGAACACTACCAATTTAAATAAAACTTATTTTATATTACCGAAGTTTCAAGCACTTTACAGCACCCATGGTCACCTGAGATGTTTGACGTTCCAAAATCATAGTTAACCACCCGCCTTAGGTAGCACCCAGCCATCTTCTCTATTGAAATTAGGATGTTTTTTGATTTCAATAGCCTTGCGAATCATCCTTGGAAGGAATCGGTGTTCTCTAACAAGGATTTGATGTCTATCAAATCTAATTTAGTGACGACGATCATCCTGTACATGCACATACTGCAGACTTTCTACAATAGTCAGAAGTAAATAGCCACCGGAACCAGGCATACAACTGCAAGGCTTCAAGATACTAAAAATTTATAATTCTAATATGGAGGTAGCCTTGATTAACTATGACATTGGGACATCAAACATCAAACAATGTGCCATCCTTCCAAAACCATGGTTTTTCAAATTCAATAAAGCTAATAAACATTCTACATCAACTATTTGTAGACTTAGAATTGGCCACGCTTGTACACCAGTACATTTGGCCAAACTGAGGATTAGGGATAGTTCCCTCTGCGAATGTGGGTTGGATGAGGGAACCTCCGACCATATTTTTTTTAACTGTCCTAAATTATCTTGTTCACTCTATGATTATCTCCCTCCTGACATCCCTCGTCCTATAAATTTTGATTCACTTTTAACCTACACAAACACTCCTTATGTATATATTCTGTGTGATTTTATTAACACTAATGGTATAAAAGTTTAATGTTTGTCAATACTAACATACTAATGTAGTTATAGCAACCGTGTTTGTCATTTGTTCTAGGTAATTTAACAGTATAACCACTAGTACTACAAGATAAAAGGGGAAAAAATTGGTTTAAAGGAAAAAAGATACTTGTACTATCACAATCTTCTCTTGTATATGGGCATAGTATTTGTAACTACTGAGCTTCTACTCAATAAACGCTTTCACGCTGACATTGGCGAATGATCAAAACCGCCATAAAAAAGAAAGAAGAAGAAGGTGTTTGATGTCCCAATGTCATAGTCCCCCCATTGACCATGAGTGCTGTAAAATGCTCGAAACGTCGAGAGTATTAAATAAGTTAATATAATTTTAAATATCACTATCACCAATAATAACTGATGTGAAAAACTTCATTTACTAAAATTTTCTTTTTTGTAGGTTCACATAAAGTTCTGTGTTCTGTGTTCAAAGCTCTATAACTGAAATGAGAACTGATTGCAATAATATATTTTTTATTGATTTGATTGACAAAATATAAAATAAAAGTATATTAAAATTACTAGATGAATACTTATACAGTGTGTCCCTCGGTAAAGTGCAAGCCCGAAACAAAGACGTATTAAAAAATACTTTAAAAACATCTTAGCCCCGAAAGTGGTTAAAGCTAGACCATAAATTATTGATAAAAAATAAAAAAATATATAGGTATTTTACTTTTTATTGACGAATTAAGATTTTTATATCGTATGTTACATTGTATGTACTAAATGTTATGTACAATATATAACAATTTTTTCCAAAGTAGTAAGTCGATTACTTTGAAATGAAAATAAACATTAAGCCACATACTTGGCGGTAAGGATAAAATAACAATTAACTCCTAAAAAAGTGGCATCCTAACTTGAACTTTGCTTTTTGTGAAAAAAAATCCATTTTTATGACTGTTTTTTTTTTCAATGATATCTAATTTTCTCAGAATTATGCCACAAATAACAGGAAATTTTATGATAAATACGCTGGCTAAGAGTTTTTAAAATTGACGTCACCATTCAGATAGACACACTTTTTTAACAATGTTACAACATTGGTTTGGGACGTGTCCTATTGTGTGTTGTAGCAAGGGTAGGAAAAATGACTGGGGAGGAGTTTGAAATACGACTTACAATTACAATGCGATATACTGTGAGGTAGTGAGTTAGCCAGCCAGTCGTTCCCATAATCTCGCTGCTGTTACCTGTTACCACTCCTACTGTCCTGTGCGTTATTTTTGTTACTTTATTTTGGTTTTGTTCTGTTATTGACTTATTTGTAACGTTTTTGACTCTACTTTGTTGTGAATTGTTGAGATGCCGCGATTGACCGAGTTCTCTCCGCGAGAAATCGCTAACATCCATTTTTATTATGGAATGTCACGTGGACGAACAACAGTTGTTCGTTCTGCATGCATCAATGCATTTCGGGGAGGACTTATAGCGTCAGCACGAAATTTTAAAGAAGTTCATCAGAGGTTATCCAACATAGGACTTGAATTAGCACAAGATGACCCTAATCCACAAGCTGTAATTATTGACAATTCAAAAGATGCTGTTTTAAACGATTTGTTTGCTGATCTTACAACCAGCATTAGACACTTGACTTTGCATCACGGTTTATCAAAGACATCGATATGGCGAATTTTGAAAAAGGAGTGATTGCATCCATACCATTACCAGTGAGTTCAGCACTTGCATGAAAATGTCGACAATCGTCCAAGGTGCGTCATGTCTGCGCGGATTCAAAGAAATATAAGAAACAATCCACAATTTTTAAAAACTATTTTATAGATGGATGATGTAAAATTCACTCTGAATGGAATCACAAATTGCAGAAATTTACATGAATGGCATTATGAAAATCGACACTTACTATTCATTACAACCCTTCACAAGTCCACTGCTGAACATAGGCCTCCCCCAAGGAATGCCACAAAGCACGGTCCTGAGCCACCTGCATCCATCGACTTCCCGCATATCTTACCAGGTCGTCACTCCATCTAGTGGGGGGACGCCCTACACTTCGTCCGCCGGTACGAGGCCGCCACTCGAGAACCTTTTTCCTCATCGGCTGTCGGTTCTTCGAGCTATATGGCCGGCCCATTGCCACTTCAGCTTACTAATCCGTTGGGCTATGTCGGTCACTCTGGTTCTACTACGGATATCCTCATTTCTAAGTTTATCACTACGAGCATAGCCCTCTCCATAGCTCGCTGAGCGACCTTGAGCTTCCTCATCCGGCCAGCAGTGAAGGACCACGTCTCAGTACCATAGGTCATCACTTGCAACACGCACTGGTTGTACAGTCTTGTTTTCAAGTTTTGAGGTATACCTGAAGAGAAGATGTGCCGTAATTTCCCGAACGCTGCCCAACCGAGTTGAATCCGTCGATTGACCTCTCGGTCGAAGTTGGACCTACCTAGTCGGATTATTTGTCCCAGGTAAACATACTCGTCAACAACTTCGAGCTTAGTGCTCCCAACAACTACCGGCATAGGTGTGACATGGACATTAAACATGATCTTTGTTTTGTCCATGTTCATCTTAAGACCCATCCGTTGGGAAACACTATTGAGGTCATTGAGCATAGGTCCTCCAGCGATTCTGCCATAAGGACTATATCGTCGGCAAATCGAAGGTGAGTGATGTACTCGCCATTGATGTTAATACCGTATCCTTTCCAGTCCAGAAGCTTGAAAACGTCTTCCAATGCAGCGGTAAAGAGTTTCGGGGATATCACGTTACCCTGTCTTACACGTCTCTGCAATTGGATAGGTTTCGTACTCTGGTTCTGTACTCGGATAGCCATCGTAGCCCTACTGTACAAGCACTTCAGCACTTCGATATACCGACAGTCAACTTGGCATCGCTGAAGGGACTGCAGCATAGTGTCATAGTCCACATACGCCAGACATAGTGGCAAATTGTACTCCTCGGATTTCTGTACAATTTGCCGAAGGGTATTTAAGTGGTCTATAGTGCTAAAGCCTTTTCGGAAACCGGCTTGTTCGGGAGGCTAGAAGTTGTCAAGTCTGCGCGCGAGACGATTCGTAATGACTCGAATACAGCACGTAGACGCGGCTCAGAAGGGAAATCGGTTTGTAGTTCTTCAAGAGAGCGTTGTCACCTTTCTTGAAGAATAAGACCACGGCACTTCTGCTCCACGCCTCCGGTGTAGTGCCACCATGGAGGACGGAATATAAGAGCTTCTGAAGGACTTCCAGTACCGGTTTTCCACCCGCTTTCAGAAGCTCCGCTGTAATTCCATCCTCGCCTGGGGCCTTGCCGTTTTTAAGGTGCTGGAGAGCCATTCTAATCTCGCTCAGACTGACGTGTGGCTCCAACAATGATGTGTACAGCTGCCCGTAGAACCTCTCAATCTCAGGTGTCCCGGAAACGACGCTGCCACACTCGGTCTTCAGCTTCGACAGTTGACCCTTTCTGGCAGACAGATCTCTAGCAAAGACTTTGGAGCCCTGGTTCCGCTCGATCGCTTCTTTAATACGAGCAGTATTAAAGTTGCGTAAGTCCCGTCGCATGCATTTGGAGATCTGTCTCTTCAGTTGCCTGTATGCTGTCAAATCTACTGAAGACTGCAGCTTCATATCCCGTCTAACAGCCATGAGATTAAGAGAGTGATCGGAGAGTTTTTGTGTTCTTCTGCGGCGGGTCTTGCAAAACTTAGCTGCGACCGCACGGACAGTTTCCACGAGCTTGTCATTCAAATCGTCCACTGCATTGCAATCTTCTAGGCACTGAAAACGGTTTTGTAGCTCGAGCTGAAAGGTTTCGGGACTTTGGATTAGAGCACGAGGGGGACGGAGCATTGATTTCATTAGACGTGACCTCTCCAACTTAACGTTTAGGTTCAGTGTGCCTATCACCATTCGGTGATTGCTGCCGGTTTTCACCCTCGCGATCACTGAGACATCACTGAACAGTTGTCGTCTGGTCGTCATAATGAAGTCAATCTCATTTCTTGTCGAACCGTCGGGGCTCGACCAGGTGCACTTCCTGTGGGGCCGCTTCTGGAAGAAAGAGTTCATCATAAAGAGTCCCTCTTTCTCCATGAAGTCGGCCAGCTGCTGGCCCCTTGGGTTCCGTTGCCCTATTCCGAATTTCCCTACTTTCAGCTCACCGTTGTCTCTTGTGCCTAGTTTTGTGTTGAAGTC